CTGCATCTTGTACAGTGAATAACCACTAAGACAATAATGTGCAATGTATTACTGAAACTCTGCTACTAATCGGTTTTGAAACTCTCATTGCTATTTGTTTCTGAATAAAATTATTTTTAAAAAATACAAATAAAACCTATGTAAACCAAGAAGATTGTTCAAGACTAAGGGTCCTGCAGGTACTATTAGTAGTAAACTTATGGCTTGGAAATGGCTGTAGTAACTCACAGTGAAGGCTGAAAGGAAAGTGAGGATATTATTGGAAGTTAGAAAAACGGGATATTTATTTTGTAGTTGCAGAAAATTAACACTATCACCCATAATTATGTGGAAATAAAAGTAAGGGAAATGTATGATTTCCAAGAAGTAGGTACCTAGCTTTTGGCTGCCTGTAATAAAATGTGAGATGAAAGTGGTAAGCAATAGAACAAACTTCTATAGGCAAAGAAGCCAAGACTTGCTAAGATAAAATTTAAACTTTATTATTCTACTCTCTTCAAATGGCAAGTAATGCAAAAAGTGAGAAATGGCTTTTGAATAAAGATCAAGAGCACTATCAGGAAAAATAGAGTATAAATGATATCAATCTCATGTGTGGGGCTAGAGCAAGGCTAGTCCCAGGAACAGAGAGTACCTGAGGTGAGACACGTGAGCAAGGTGCTTCAGCCCAGAGCACACCGGACACTAGAGGAAAGCCAAGCAGGTTACTAGGCAGAGGAGTGTCTTGTGACATCAACCTGCCTAGTGTGTAAATAAACCTGCTGCAGTCCTTGAGCAGTTCCTTTTCTCCTATTCAGAGTGTGTTCTATCCTTGAGCAGTTCGTTTTCTCCTATTCAGAGCGTGTTCTACCTGACCTCAGCTTACCGTTTTCTAATTCCTTATTTCTTGATCCTCCACATCCTTCACCCTGAAAATTTTGAGAGCTGTGCTTGATGTGGCAAACATGATGTCAGGGATGTTATTGTACAGCCATGTGTGAGGAACTAGATGGTATCTCCAAGGGTAAGGATTGCGGATAGTTTCTGCTAAAGAACAGGGCATTTAAGAATGTCAACTGTGTTTCCCTACGGCAATTTTACAGGATAGCAAATGTAGAGAAGGGTTTATCTTGATACATTTTATGGATGTTGCTTATGCCTAACAGTATAAGACTTCAGTATGATTTGTTGGAGACCCACAAAATTTTAAGAGACATATTCACAGAAAACAATGCCAGCTTGGACTGAAGACAGTTTAACACGAAGAGGCCTTTGGACTTGTGAAGTAAATGTTGGCAGGAAGTACTCTGAGAAAACTAGCTACAAATGCCAGCATTTTCAGTAGAGAAGAACAGCTGAGATTGGAACCATGAGCTCTGAGGGTAGAGCTCAGGCCTATTAGGATGCTATTCTGCACTTCCAGGCAGCAGGCTTGAGTCAAGGAATTAACAATATGTCCCTGACTGGATTTCAGAACTGCTACGTTCTGCCCTTTTCTCTGCTCTTCACCAGTCAAGTCTGTGATCTTCAACTGTCCTTTGTTGGTATGTAAAGGTGGAATAACTTGTCCCTTTGATTCACTGGGTTTTTAGGTTGAGAATTTATATACCTTGTGTGCTTCGAAATACATACTCTGCTGTATTTGGTAAGTAGAATTTGAGGAGTCTCAGTTACACCTGCTGGAAATCCTGGATGTTGAGCCTAACCTTGATGCCATCATAGGTAAGATTTTTGCTCTGATGTGGTGTGGTGTAGGGAAATGGAGCTTTTGTTTTGCACTTGGAATATAAGTAGCTTTTATAGCAGTAAGAGAGCAGCACATGTAAAGGTACTGTTGCAGTTATCTAATGTTGCCAACTACCTCAGGACAGAGCTGTTTAGCAGGATATAATTGTAGCCATGAAGTGCTCAAACTACAGGCATATACTACAGTGCCAGGCTAGATTTCCTCCTGTTTAATGAGAATAGTAAGAAATAGTCTTTATCCAAATATTTCAAACCAAATGGATTCATACTGTGCAGGATCTCACTGAAGCATCTCTGCTATGCCAGGGTTCATTAATAACTTTTTTTTTTAATAGGAAGATGTATTCTACTATACTACATATCCTTGTAGTTCTACATACACTTGTAGAACCACTGCTCTAATGTGTAGTTGTTGAAGATTATAGTCATCAAAAATAAAGCATGCCAAAATTAACTTGTGCATGAAAAATTAACTTATCCTACATATTAATCACTTAAAATTTCTGTAGGTGCAGTGAAAATATACAAAAATACAAAAAAAAAATAAAGTAAAACAAAGAAATAACTTCCACATTTCCTGTTGCATTCACAGCATCTATATAATATGAATTTCAATATAGCCAGTTAGTGAAGGGTCAATGCCACTTTTTGTTTGGAGAGGATTTCAAAAATTATTTTTTAATATAATGAAAAGATTTTAATAAGTTAATGAGAAATTTTATAAAATTGTATTTTTTAGAGGACATACATAGAAATTCTGCGTTAAATCCTGTTGAGAATATGAGATAGTTGAGCTTTTCATCAGCTTTGCCTTTTAGGAGGATGCTTATGGCATCAGGGCATCTGGTCAGCGAGGTCAGCACACACACTGGTGACAGGGACGATGTGTCCGCTTACATGCTCCTGTCCCTGGTAGTTGTTCCAAGGAAAGGGCTGCACAGTTGTCTGTGTTCTGAGCATCAGATACAGAGGCTTCAGGGATGGCATGTGAAGGGCAACAGTTACCCAGCCCTTACCCCACCGCTGTTCCACACACTTGACATGCCAATGGAACCTCAGTGTAACCCTTGCAACACACATACGAGGCAGCTAGTACCAAAATAATTGACCTCATCTGACCTCATTCCAAAATCAAGAGTGCACGATATGGTTGATGATAAATTATGATGCAAGAATTCCATGTTTGTCTCTATTCAGGTAGTTGTGAAAAGATGATGCCCCAGCTGACCTACAGAAGAAGACTGGGAATTGTCATCGCAGAGAAAAGTTCTGGGCCAGTTCTTAGTGTGCGATTCTGGGTGAGTCACTAAAATGTTCTCAGTTTAAGTTTTAGGTGCAGAAAATGTCCATAGCGGTACTCCTAGTGAGCATATGGTAACTAATACAGACATACACCATTCGGGTGTTTATTACTCAGCTGAGTGGAAAATTCACATGTAATTTGTGGGATTTGCAGGAGTCATTTTGACCTGAGTGCTGGCATTAAAAATCCTTTGCTAAAAGCCAGTCCATGTAAGCCTTTGAATGACATAGGTCCTGTGTCTTCAGCGCTCTCCTTGGGCTTTGTGGCCCTCAGGGTGGCATGCAGTCCCAGGGAGACTGTGCTCATGCCAAGCACATGTGTGTGGATAAAACAGAGAAGGGCAAGAGTGTCCCCAGAGCATCTCAGCCACTCAGTAGCCTTTTACTTTCACTTAGCAAAGACTAGAAACAACTTTGGAAGCTAATTATCTGTGATTAAAAGAAGTAAATATTGAAATGGGTGGGACTATATTAATATATCAGAGTAGATGCTCTTTGTAGATTTTTTAACCTACACGCTAAAATCTAGTGAAGAGAACAACAGAAAATAACAAGTGCAAGGGAAATAAATGAGCATTAATTCTTTTTCAAAATTTTATTTGATTATTTTCATTTATAGTTCTGGCACTGACACTTTAAAAAAAATCTTAATTTTATGTAAAGATTGAACTTCAATAAAATAACTTAAAAAACATTTACATGTATATCACTAAATCTCCATAAAATATACAATACTTCTGATACAGCAAGGACTAGGATGATTTCAGGAAATAGTACATATTCATAAGTTTAAAGAGATAATCCAAATATCACATGTGGGAATAAATATATTGAAATCTTCCAAGACAGGTGAAGTATTAAATACTCTATAACATGCACTCAAATTAAAATACAGTTTGAAATACATTTTAAAAGCATAAAACTTCTCATTTAATCTAGATATACATTAAAGCTTCTAAATAGAAATTTGAACATTTATAAAGAATAAAAGATATTATAACTTCAAGTGAGATATAGTCCAAAAGCTGCTAGGAAACAGTTTAGACATGTAGAGCATAAAATTGGACTTCGGCTAGTTGAACCTGATATTTTTTAACCTTTAAATGAGAATGGAATGATGTTATATTAATTACAACCTTAAGTTTTGAAGTGTTGATTTTAAGTACTATATAGCTTCATGTTCTTTTTCTCATTTACATTAACTGATATGACAGAACCAAACACATGAACTTAACTGTCTAAAACAAAATGTGGATATTACTTGTAAATGAAGGTATTTTGTAGACCAAATTACTTGCGTACAACAGGCTGTATTTTATACATGTAAAGATTTATAAGAATTATATTTGTACACCTACAAGCTAATTATAAGGGTAAACTATTTTCACATATTTCTGAATGTTGACACTTTTATAATATAAAACACCTCTCTGATGATTATTGGCACAAAACCTTTCTTTAAAGAGACAATATACTAGAAAGTTGGTAGCAGTTAGCTATTTGGCAGTTTAAAATGATTATTTATGGACACAGCAGTAGTATTGCTCACCTTGAAGAACTGAATATAGGACGATTTATACATTGCTATGAGCTGAATCACTCCATCAGTTAGCTTAGTGTGTGTGAAGCTAGGAAGACTGCTAGAAAGTGATCGGATGCGGAACACTACAAGCCAGAGAACAATTTGGATTTTTTTTTTTTTTAATAGGCAGCAGCTACATGAACTGTAAATTTTACCCAACTTAATAAGAACTTTCTCTAAAGCAAATAAGAATCACCTCCTGAGCTGGTTCCATCACCTAATTCTTTACTCTGACTTAGTGAAGTGGTCTAGATCTGCTATGTGAAAACCTGCTTGAACAACTGAAAGAGCCATTTGTTAGGATAATTTGATATAACTTAGAAAATTGTACAGAAACTCTGATTCTAATAACAAGAAATCGTGCTTCTTAATGGTGTGGATTATATCAAGTCACAACCATCCTCCACTTCCCCACTGTACCTCTGAACTAAGGAACAATATTAATAATTAAGTTGTGAGGGTTATTGAGATAACGTGGGATTTTCTAAAATATTCCACGCTTTCAGCTCCGGAATCTACGGGCTATCAGAATACATTGCAGTTTCACATTGCCAGTTAAGAACAAGAGTAAGCTGACAAGTTCTGTTTTTCCCAATCATCTTTCTGTTTAACACATACTGAAATTACAGTAAAAATTTGATAAATTCCTTGGTCTGAGGTACTGTTTTGGAGTAGGTAACTTAAAAATAGTATTTAGATTGTACTGAAGTCTAGTTTGATGGAAAATTATGAAAAAGACCTTCATATCATTCCCATTGCACTCTCAGGAAACTGCTAATGTATGGCTGGGGACAAAACCTAAAATGGAACCATCTTCCATAGATGAAAGTGTTTAGATAATGACTGACTGAAACGCAGCGAGATTGTCAGGAATGCTTACGCAGAAGCGGATGCCAACCGCAAGCCCTTCTGCCGCCTCTTTCAGTGCCGTGTGTTTCTGTGTAGCAAATGGCATCTTTCAGTTCCAGTGATGAGCCATGCAGCTAAGCCTCGGAAGTGTCTGTGACCCTTTCCACTATATTTTCCTAAAACAAATATACTTCCATTGAATCTGCAGCATGTTTAGAAGGAAACCTGTAATTTTAGCTGATGCTTGATCAGTGTCTGTTTGAATGTGGCAGGTCAAATCACATCATACAAATTATCTAAGAAAAAATATATATATTTGATAATATCTCAGAGGGGATGTTTCTAAGTTGATAGACAAAAACACTGAGAACATAAAAGGTGTGAAATATAAAAAAACTGCAAATTTTAAATTTTATAATGTACTACAAATGTTTTTCAAGTAATTTTTAAAAAGTTATAAATAATTCTTATACTGTACCTTTCTGCCTTTTACTTCTAACCTATGGAATAGTATTATCACCATATAAATAGCAGATAGTCTTTTAAGGAAGGGGCTGAGGGGAAGCGTGCTGAGGACTGGCTGGCTTTCCCTGTTATGTGTATTTATGGATACAAAGTTGAAAGTACTTGGTTAGGTCAGGGAGGACAGCCATGTTCTGCTTCAGGAAATAGTCAGTTAGGTTGCTCCTTTAATAAAGTTAGTGTGCATCAGCCCAGCTGAGTGTAAGTGTATAATTAAGGCTATGTACATAATAAGGAGGATTGAGGCATTAATTTGAACAAATCAGAAAAATAAGTTTGTAAAGAGACTACTGCTCAAAATATTTTTCTCCCTGCAATGTAATTTTATCACATAATTGCTCACATTCATTTTATCTGTTAAAATATTACACAGATAAGGAATTTTTTATGGGGTAAGAAATATCCATAACACAATTTTCCCTGTTTGCTGTTCTGGGGAGAATCAGTCGTCAAAGCACCTAATACAAGGAAAAACTACTTTCTGAAACACTACATTTGTTACTATGAAATGATCAAACGGACTTTTTTGGTTGAAAGGTTTTTAGGGCACTGAAGTGACTGATTTAAGTTCCTCTGGTGACACAGGGACTGTGCTTCCTTAGCGCAATATTTTAGCTTGCTGAAGCCAAAATTAGTTTGCACAAGCCAAACTAAGAACAGAGTGTTTTGGAGATGGGCAGAAATAATTTGCATTTATTGAGAGCCACCTTTTTGCTCCAAATATGGCATACCATTAGATGTATTTATAACTGGCTGCAGACAATTTATTCATATTTTTAATAAACTTGCAATGTGGGCAAGTAATTTTGTATGTACTGTACAGTTCCTAGTAGCAGGGCAATAATTAAGCATTTAGTGATGAACAAACATAGAAACCAGAGAAAACGTTTTAAAAAATACAGTACAGAAATGTCTTTTCAGTAAGCCAGTATTTCTTATAGACATGTGACATTCTAGAATCATTTATGTGTTCCCATAGGAAAAAAAAAATCTCAATTTTTAGACAAGAAAAACAAAACCAACCATGGGATAAAGAGAAAACCTAAGTGTCTTTGATTTTTGGTAAACTGTAAGAAAATGAAAAAAAAATGTGCAAAATAAAAAGTTCACATTCTTATAGTAAAAAAAGACATACACAATAAAATGTGACAATTGCCGTAGTAGGAGTTAATAAAAAGTAAAGGAAAAATAAGTCCCGTGATTTTAATTAAACATGAGTAATAGGACTGTTTCTGATGCTGATTTCCTTCCTCTCATTTCAGAAATTACTGTTTGATTAAAAGAAAGGGAATAAAAATATTCTAGCAGCTATTTATATAACACCCATGAAGGCACAAAAGAGTGTAGGACTCCAGAGCCAATGATGGTGTGAGTTTGGCATGAACAAAAAATGACCCTGAAATACAGTTAAAAACCTGGCACTAGTTTTCATTTACAATTGCAGTTCTGAGTGGATAATGAATTAGGGCTCTATAAAAATCTTTTCTTTCTTTCTTTGACAATAAAATATACTTATCAAAACTTGCTAGCTTATCTGTGCAAATATACTTATCATGGATGCAAAGAATGTATGAAAATAATCCCCAAAGTCCTGCTTTTCATAATGTCCAGAAGATCCTGTGGAGCCAGCCGGCCTCTGACGAGCTCTCAGTGTCTGACATGGGAGAGGAGCCAGAATGTGCCCTCTAGAGGAGATGTGGCAGCTGCGCCGTGGAGAACATCCTTCCCACGTTGTTGATGAAAGCTGGCATACAACTTGCTTTCTGTCAGCTGACCACAGATAAGCTACTAGTCATGCAAAAAAATTAGGGTGAATAGGCCTTGTTCTGAAGTAGAACACCCTTGGACCAGCTCACAGCATCCTCTATAAATGTATAGCAACTGGCTAGATGTGCAAGGACCCTCTTGCCACTGATTACATATGTTCTTGGAAAAAAGGGTACTACTGAAGTCACTGGGTATAGGATTCATTTCAGACTTTCTTGGGAAGGAATTACATTTGCTTCAGAATTACTAGATTAAAATTTTTTTAAAAAATTTTTGTTTGTGAAAAAAATATCAAGGCTGCTTCTAGAACAGGAAAGTCACTTGGAATGGGACCAGAAAGAACAACATCAGGAAGAGGGCAGTGAGGTTACCAGCTGCTGTCTCTCTCCTACACTGACTTAGGTAACTACATCATTCTACATCAGAAGCATCATTGTCAGACAGATGGTAGTTACTTCCCTTCACCCGAATGTATTCAATGTATCTCCCGTCATCAGAATCGGAGGTACCACATGTGCATAGCCTGTGGTCAAAGAGGGATTCAATTTCCTCCAACTTCTTCCCTTTGGTTTCAGGAAGACAGCCATAGATGAAAAGAAGTCCCATGGCTGCAAATCCAGCATAGAGGAAGAAGGCTCCTGCAATGACAAATGGTATGTACATATATGCTTGAGTTGGAATGAATACTTGACTTTGACTTTCTTCCCTTAGTTGACCATACACTAACCACAGTATGAAATAGGACCCAAATCCACCACCATGAGTAGTTGACCTGAATGTTCTAACCCTGTGAATACAAGACAAATCATTATATTACTTAAGAAGAATAGTAGACCAGACTCTGCTCTTAAGTCTTCCCTGGCTAGGGGGACTTCCTCCTTCCCACACACTGTCATAGCACTGTGTTGAGAAGTCTTAGGTCTTAATAACCAGGAAGTATCCTAATGGTGTGCATGCCTGCATCTGTCTTGTCTCCCAAGACTACAGGCTCTTTGAGGTCAGGAGAAATTTCTCAGTTTCCAGAACCAAGAACAAAGATGACACGGCAGAGTTGATGGCCCAGTAGAGTACACAGTGACACCATTTTTCTAGTTTCTCAGGTCCAAAGTTTGGAGGCAGCCCTGATCTTTGTCTTTCTGTCATGCCTAACATCTAGCTGTTAGAAAGTCCTATTGTCCACCCTAGAATATAACCCAAAGATGACCTTACTGAGCACAGCCACAGAGAGCTGTGGGCTGAGACCCAGCCTCCCTCAGCTGTGCTACTGCGCAGCTCCATTTGCTAACTGAACCTTTTGCTCAGAGGCCTGCCCCTCAATCCCACTTTTTCCTTGATAATGCTTATCACCAACAATGCGCTATAAATCTTACTAGTTTGTTTTCTGTTTATCCCTAGTAGAAACTCAAACTCTGTGAGGTCAGAGATTCATTTTGCTCTAAGAGTCTATGATAAAACACATCTGGTTGTGTTCTCCAAGTGTTAAGAAAGCAAGCTTAGGTGAATGAGATAAGGAATGTGTGGCTTCTCTACCTGATCTCCAAGAGGTTTTTTTCTTTATAATACAATTCACTATTTAACACATTCACAACAGGGCTGTAGTATGTATGTCTTTCGCTGCATAGCTCTGAATAAGAAATGCACAGCTCTTAATAACTAGGAAGAATGCACACGTGACTCCATTGGCACTCCACGCCGCCCTGTGGAACAGTCTCACTCGTTCCAGCAGAGGTGATCAGTACAATAAGACAGCCCATACTTTTACTTTGATGGTAAGAGAACAAACTATGAAAGAGTTGCTGCTTGCTTTTAGGACTTCTGTTTAGAGCAGTGGTGGCAAATCTATGGCACACGCCACAGTGGGCTGTCGCATCCCTGAGAGCTCTAAAAGGTTCACTGCTGCTGGTCTAGACCGTCCTGTATATGACGTGAAGAGGGAAGCTGAAAAGCTAATGTGACAAATGGCCAGAGCAAGTGTGTCAGATGAGGATGGCGAAAGTCTGCACAGTGATTTACCTGTCTTCCTGTGACTTGGCTTCCTTACTAAGTGAAGTAAGATGATTCTCAGCTCACATTTAAGTGCTGGCAGTTGATTCTATAATAATAGAGATAAGACCAGAAGCAGGCTTTGGAGGGTTGGTATGAAGACTCTGGAGAGGGTACTCACTCCTGTGTCTGCAGGAGCCCTCTCCTTGCGGGGAGAGGCTGCTGTAGCTTTGTCTGGTTTCTCAGTGAACATCATGGTGTCTGCCACTGCAGTCTACAGTGTGGGTGCGCAAGCTTTGAGCTACTTGGGCCACAGTGCTGGAGAGCAAGTGTATAAATTACAGAAATTTAGGCATGGTGGCCCAGCACTCTGAAAGGCTGAGACTGGAGGGTCTCCAGTTTACGTCCCACCTGGGCAACTTAATGAGCACACTGAACACTCAAAAAATAAAAGTTTTTAAAAAGAGGCTGGGTATGTGCACATGTAGCGAGGTTGAATAAATTATAGGAAATGGCTGTGTGTTCCCTGATGCACTGCAAGTGCAGATCATTGTGTCCCACGTGAGCAGTTTCTGCATGGCTGCGCTGCAGGAGCAGAATGTTGGTTAGCACTGTGCAGGCCTTGCCTGCTGAGCACCCGCTGCTTATGCTCTAAACAGTGCCAGGGCTGCAGGTGCCTGGGCTGGCGAAGCAGACAACACGAAGACATCTCCAAGCTGAGCTTTAAACTGCTTGGTCCACTGACCACCTGAAGAGCTGAGTCAGGGACAGATCGATAAGGTCTGCTTAGGAATTTGCCGTGGGCAAACTCAAGAAGCGCTAGGGCTAAAACTAGGTCCTACAGAACAGAAAACAACAGGAAGAGAGGTAGGTTATGAGTGATCAGAAAAACATGCGAGGGTTAACTCAGCCAATAAGGAGCTGGATTTGTATAAATCACGGTCTGCTTAATGAAATCCAATTATCTTATAAATGTACTTCATTTTATTTCAGTTCTAGTACTGACCGCAGCTTGTATATTTTTATGAACTGTACTTGAAAAATAATCAGAAAATGCATGGCCCAGTGAGAGAAACCAGCTGTATGGCTCTGTGGAGAACAAGGCCCTGAAAGTCACAGGCATCAGGACATATAATTGAGGAATACTTGGGCAGAAACTTGCCTTGAACTTCAATGCCTGGTGGGTATAAAATGGGCAAGTGACTCCTGCATTGTTAAAAGAATGGACAGAATTCTGTAGCAGGCCCCTTAGGGTTTGGATATTAATTGTGATGATAATCAGCACAAATGCTGACTGGGGGAGGGGAGTTTCCATAAAAGACAGGATTACTCTAACATCAGGAGTATTGTCATGCAAAGGATGACAGGAAAAACTGGCTTCTCATCAGTGGACTAGATTAGAGGACTCTGAAGCCCCTACAAACACACTCAGCCACCTTATCTTTGACAGAGAGGCCAAACATACTCACTGGAAGAAAGATAGCCTCTTTAACAAACGGTGCTGGAAAAACTGGCACTCTACGTGATGAAAACTAAAACTTGACCCAGGTCTACAACCATGCACTAAGCTAAAGTCAAAATGAATTAAAGATCTAAACATTAAAACAGAAACACTAAATATCCCAGAAGACAAAGTAGGAGGAACTCTTGAAGACATAGGGGTAGGCAAGGAGTTCATGAACAAAAATGAAATCGCACAGGAAACACTTGAAAGAATTAACAACTGCAACCACCTCCTATTAAGAAGTTTTTGCATGTCAAAAGAAATTACCAACAAAGTGAAAAGACAACCCACAAATTTAGAAAAAAAATCATGACAAGTACTCAGACAAAGGTCTGCTCTCTAGAATTTATAAAGAACTAAAAAATGCTAGGGCCCCAAAATTTAAAGACCCAGTCCAGAAATGGGCATCCGAGATGAACACCTACTTCTCAGAGGATGAAATTAAAGAAGCAAATACATATATGAAAAAATGCTGCACATCACTAGCCATTTGTGAAATGCAAATTAAAACTACATTGAGATATCATCTCACCCAAGAAAGGATGGCTATCATAAAGAAATCACCCAATAACAAATGTTGGAGAGGCTGTGGGGAAAAAGGAAAAAGGAACCCTTCTCCACTGCTGGTGGGAATGTAGACTGGTGCAACTGTTACGGAAATCAGTGTGGAGACTTAATTAGAAAACTTGGACTGGAAATCCCATTTAAACCAGCTATTCCTCTACTGGGAATTTTCCCAGAGGATCTGAAAATATCATATCAGAGTGATATATGCGTGCCTGTGTTTATGGCAGCATAATTTGTGATAGCCAAATCTTGGAAACAACCAAGATGCCCATCACCTGAGGAATGGATGAAAAAGATGTATTTTTAAACAATGGAGTATTACTCAGCTATAACGAATGATAAACTTGGAGCCTTTATATTGAAGTGGATATCACTTGAACATATAAGTTAAATAAACCAGACCCACATGTGTAAATATCATATAGTTTCCCTAGTATAAGAACTCAAAAGAAGAAATACAAATAGAAAGGTATAATACAACTAAAGGAAAGCAAGAATTTGAGGACTAAATAATTGAGAGGGAAAGGAAAAGAGCTAGGAAACATGACAGGGGCAAGCCATACAGTTATATGTATAAGATGGGTAAGGCAATGATCCTGAGAATCTTCAAAAGATTTTTGAATCTGGCAGTTAATTGGAAAGATTCTCACCCTGACTAACTATATATACTGACACCTCTGAACTAAGCAACTGCACTTTGGCTGGGCATGTAGCTCAGTGGCTCAGTGCCTGCCTGGCAACTGCACTGAAGATTGCCATTTGTAATAGTAGGTTCATGCTTGGAATGCCTGTCATTCTGGTCTTCTGAATATGGCCTGCTTGTTATGACATGTCAATTGCTGCTGTGCTGTCTCGGGTAGATGCCTGTTTAAAAAGAAGGGGGTGGTGAATGAAGGCAGGAGACAGAGAAAGGAATGTTGCGGGACTGTCCTGCTATAAGGTTGTATGTGGTTA